TGATGCAGGGACGTGCAGTCAGGGGAGGCAGAGCCTCACCCCTGTCATCATGAAAAAAAAATGTAAAAGGAAAAAGGCATGAGCTGACTTCAGTCTGAGCTATTTGCTGCCAGAGTCATCGTGTGGATGACTCTGCTTAACTGTTTAAAAAAGCCTCTAAAAAAGCACCATCTACAGGAGGAGGCAGGAGAACGATGTGCCTCATCTATGTCAGGAATTTTTCGGCTTTTAACCCTTGCTTAACTCTGCTTGAGTGATCATAAAACGCCTAAAGTCAGAGTAGATGAGGCACCTCATTCTCCTGCCTTTTCCTGTAGAGGGCGCTTTTTTAGAGGCATTTTTAAACAGTTAAGCACTAAGCAGTCATCCACTGTGACTCTGGCAGCAACTAGCTCAGCCTGACCTCAGCTCTTGCCTTTTTCCTTTTACATTTTTTTTCATGTTGACAGTGGTGAGGCTCTGCCTCCCCTGACTGCACGTCACTGCAGTATGCATTCCTGAACCAATCCTTAAGGTTGTATCATGCTTCAACTTTGATCTCCAAAGCTGAGGTTACTTTGGAGTGTGGGAAGGATGTGTTGGAACATGAATGGATCTGAGGAAAAGTTGGAAATCATACTTTCTCAGGGAAGAGATGCTAGCTTTCTCAACAATCAGCAGTAGCCCAATTTCAAGGATGAAAAATGCAAGACAAGAGTCTATCAAAATATGGGAAGGCTAGGCTAAAGAATCCCATTATAAAGAAGGAGCGGGGCAACCATGTTGATTGATGGCAATTAACTGTTTTAAGTGGCTCTATCTTATTATTTCACATACACAAAAATTATCTAGCAAAGTCATATTCTGCACCTGAACCCAAGTCTTGTCAAGACAGACCAAATTGAGAATTTGGAAATATCTGTTGACTTCCTGTCAATAAGATTGACAGCAGCATCAGACTGCAATCCCTTAAAGCAGCAAAATCCCATCACAGGCCATCATTTTCAGAATATTCATTTTCAGACCTATAAGGACAACACATTTTATTAGTCACAAAGTTTATATCATAGACATGAGAATTGTGTCTACAAGTTATTATAGTGAAAGAAACTTATATTACACCAAGTACTGTGCTCCTTGAAGTTGCACATCTTCTGCTGTGCCTATCAGAGAAGTTGAGCACAATCTGCAGAGAAGGTGCTACTCGCTTACTCCAGACTACTCAGCCAAAGCCTGCGTGAGGACACTTTTTTGACTAGTGAATTCTGACATTTGCTTTGGGCCATTTCAAAACTGTCTAGATAGAAGCATTTCAGATAATGCTATGGGAGAAAGCTGAAAGGAACCCTTAGCATTGGTCCAAAGTCACTCAAATTACTTCATCAAATGATGAGTTGTTTTTTCCACTGGCAGGTAATGTGGAATGGGAAGGAAATGCAGACAAGCCAATTGACCAATTGTCCAATAATATGGATTATTCCAGATTTAGGTCTGAAGGGTATTATCAGTTGCCTTACTTATCGCTGAGGCAGAACAAGGTCAGAAATAGGACTCACAACATTAAAATAGCGGATGTGATGGAATGATCAAAACTCTGTCCTTTTTGAACATGTATCCAATAGATGTAAAAAGAATCAGTAAAGAGAATATTTGTAGCTCAGAGTTTAAACCTTTGGTGCTCTCTGAGCTTAGCTGTTTTCTTGTAAACATTTCATACCCAAACTAGGTAACTTCATCAGTGCCAATAGTGGAAGTGTGCCTGCAAGCAAATTTTCCCCGTTTGCGTGCTTTCTGAAGTGTTTGAGGCCCGTAAATGGTACCAATAAAGGAGAATATTTGTAGCTCAGAGTTCAAATGAGAGGTCCCTGGTGTTCCCTAAGCTTGCTTGTTTTCTGCAGATGCTTTATTACCCAAACTAGATAACATCATCAGTGCCATCCATAATGCTTAGTAGCACTGATGATGTTACCTAATTTGGGTAGTGAAAAAACAACAACCAAATTCTGAGAGCACCAAGGACCCCTCAGAGTCACTTTCCTCACAGCCCTCATTTCATTTTGTTGGTGCCTGTGGAAACCCCTGAGCTAAGCTATCAGGGCAACACCCTTTATGTCAGCATACTTATCTCCTTATTCAAGGAATGCAGGAACAAAAGCTAATATGACCATGAGGAAGAGTCCTAATTCTAATAAGAGTATATATGATGTGATCGTTATCTCCTGTAGGGACATTGCATAAGGGACCTCACATCAGGGCCATTCACCTATCAAAAATAAAAAGAAAAGCATGGTATTTTGCATCTTGTCACTGCATGAATAATTTACTTTTAGATATATAAGTCCAGAGACCTGGGAGTGGGTGAGTGGTGGTTCTCACTGTTAGGAAACTGGCTTTCCAAACATCATGGATTAAAAAGGAAAATTGCTTCATCCAAAGTTTGAAATATCTCTGCCCAGCCAGAAATACATCAGTTCATCTGACCAGCAGAAGCAATAGCAAGGATCTATACACTTGGAGCACTGATGTACTGTTGCGTAAGTATCCCCCTGAAGACTTCCTTGTCTCCCCCTCAGGCAGGAGATGAAAAGAATTTGACAGCGGGAAAAATGTCCAGACATGTTTGGTTATAGCTTCTTGCAAATAGGAAAAGACATGTTATTGTGGTAATGGTCTATTCAGATGAGATTGCAAAACATTATTAGTGTTCTTTCTTTCTGTTACATTCATTTCTACTTTTTTTTTTTGGCATTAAGTTGAAATATTAAATTGCTCTTTTATTTTCAGGTAAAAATGTTTTCTAAATTGCTTTCACAGTATTTTTTTTCTTTTCTCTTTCCAGGAACTTCACTGTTTTTTCCCCATGAAGAAATACATACATACATACATACATACATACATACATACATACATACATACATACATACATACATACATACATACATACATATATCTATCTTTTATTTATTCCTTTATTTATTACCAGCACAAATATAACAAATATGTATATGTATATGTATATGTATATGTATATGTATATGTATATGTATATGTATATGTATATGTAT